AAAATCCTGCACAAATGAGTTTAGTATTTTACTTGAAATACCAAACTGTTCAATTTTCAGGAAAAACAACTTTCCTATTGTCCAAGTTTACTTTACAGGGAGGCATTGGAACATGATTTTAAAAAAATCTCTCCGTGGATATGAATGTTGAGCGGAAAGACAAATTACATGTAATTCTGCAGTTCTCATAGCTCTTAAAAATAAGAAATATATGGAAGTCTTGCAATACAAGTCTTTTAGTTTAATTGCTATTATTAATCTTATTTTATTGAAGCAGTAAAAGGTAACCACTGGCTCACTGAGCAGCAATTCAACAAGTCATGTAAACTATAGTGTTGACAGCCTTTGTCTGGAGTCCTACATAGACTGTTTCTAACTAAACTGCTGTGTAATTATGGATCCTTTGTGATTTCACTTTCTCATCTAGTCAATTTCTCTTTCTTTCATGTGGCATGTTGTGTTTAGTAGCTCATCTGAAAACATCAATATGCTTTGAAAGGGATAAAATCAAATTGTAACAGTTTCTGTTCCTTATAGCCAAGGGGAAAGATGGTAAATAAGTGTAGTGTCTCTCAGCATTTCACATTACAGACATTGGAAACATGATTTCTACTTTCATATTCTCACTAAAGAAGAGCAGCTGGATTTTTTTTTCATGTATTTAAAAATCCACAGTCAGGAGACCAAACATTGGAATATTAGTGCACTTCTACATCACAGGAGAGGCAGTAAATGAAGAGAAACCTTTCTGATTCCTCAGGACTTTACCGGAAATGGCATCTAATTTACAAGAAATAGCATCTCACATCCAGGCTTTAAGCCTGGTAAACAACCTGACCCTGGAAAGTGGCCTTCTATGGTCACTTTAATGAAATATTCAAAGAAATGGTCATTCCTTTATTCCATATGAAGATTAATAGTTGAATATCAGATTAAGGCACTGCTTTTTCTCTTAGAGCTAGAAAATAAGTTAATTTTTTCTAGCCAACATGATTTAAGTTTTGATATACTATACAAGAGAGTACAAGGGAAAAATTCACTATCATTGGATAATATGTTGTTTTATTTTTGTTACTTTATTATTTGTTATAAGTGTATGAAACATTAGCTAGCTATATATCTTGAACTTGTTTCTTTATAAAGAAGGCTTTAGTTAATGAACTTGGAGATTGTAAGTTTCACTGTGCTGTGTAAACCAAGCAGTGTTTATGATATATTTGGATAAGACTTTGGAGATTATAATCTTATTATATAAAAATAAAGATATTAAATATATGTACTAGCAAGACAAGACTATAATCTGATTCCCATCTATTTAAGTATGGACCAAAATTTCCCCATATTTCTTTCTAGTTTTGCTTTGAAATATTTATGCAAAAAAATTGGTGAATCTGCTTAGATAGTAAAGGCAATTAGACAGTAATTTTAACTACTGTTTCTTGGGTCAACAAAAATATATTTTAGTTATCTATCCTAAAATGTATGTTTTTATTTTGTGTGTTTGAAATGAGAAAAAAAATATAGAAAGTGCTTACAGTCACTGTGTTCTGGTTTTCAGTGGTTAGGTAGGCAATATTCCTATGTGCATACATGTTGTCTTAACTGCTTATTTAGTTGCCTCTCCAAATTACTCCCACCACCCATGTTAAGTTTAATTGCTATTCAATAGAACTTTACAGAGATTGCATTATCATATAGTAGTAGAACAATAAGTTGCCTAAAAAGAAAGATAGAGACTAGCAGCAGAGATGAAATATAATTTATTTATGGAGAAGCAACTAGAATTCTACATTTTTTTTGCTAATTGTCAACCAGACAATTTATATAGGTTTGCTTCTTTTGTCAGTCAGACTCTGGAGGTGCTACTATCTCCAAGGATCTCATAAGAAATGCATCACATTCAGTGCATCATGGAGCAGTAGACCCAGAAGCTCATTTTAACAAGATCCCTGTATAATTCACTTCACCTGAATGTCTGAGAAGAATTATTTGTGAAATTCATAAAAAGTTTGTAGTACCAAAGGCAATGCCCACAAGATGAAACTTGTACCTGTTGTTAGTAAGTTGTGAGCTAAATGTTTTCCTCCCATATTTTATGCAATGCAAGTTAGAACTGGCGATGGACTTTCAGAACAAGTGGAAGAAATTATGAAAGAACAGGAGCTTGATGTGGCATGCATAAACATGACAATATTTATAGAATCTATGCCTATACCAATTTAGTTGCTTGTAGTTTCAAGAAAGCATTGGGTTTTAGTTCATCCAAGAACATTATTTTTCTCTTTCTGCACACAGATTCATAGTGTATGTCAGTATATGTGACTAATGAAATACAGAAAGTAGCATCAGCTCAGTGTATCACAACCCATCATAAAATTTGGAAATCCTAACTTCTTGTTAGTATGTATCTACACATTTTTGATAACTAGAGAAGCTTACATAGAAGTTGTAATATAGGAAGTGTTTAATATACATAGGCCAACTATAGTGCCCAAAGCCTTTTCTGATAAAGGACTTTTTGTCCAACTTTATTGAGGTGTTACAACTAGATTCTTTGATATCCACAAACATTATGCAATGATTAACATAATGAAGTTCATTTATAGAAATGCAGCTCTTCATACTATTATTATGCTTTTGTGGAGCTGACAGTGCGTTTTCTTTGATGAATGGCTGGTTATATAGAAAGAAGAATTAATGTACATACTAGTCACCTTTAATTTTATTTTACATTAAAAATAACTGGAAGTTTTTCATGACCATCATAGCTGCATTAATTATAAATTAGTTCATTATAATTTTGTCATATAAAATCCACATAATATTCATATTTGTCAGTGCATTTTTAACTACAAAAATAAAACCTAATGAAAATAGTTCAATCTGTAGGATCTAAATATATACTTTAACTTTATATCTTTTTCTAGCACTGGATTTGGACTAAGGGCCTTATGCTTCCCAGAAAGCACTCTCCATTTAAACCATGCTCTGAATCCTTTTAGATTTTTAGCTGATTTTTTTAGACCTTAGTCCTCCAGTCTACACCTCCTTTTTACTTGAGATTACAACTGTATTCCACACTACTGTAGTTGGTGAGATATATTCTCAGTAATATTTTGTTTAGGCTGGTCATAAAATGTGATCTTCCTGATTTCTACATCCTACATACCTGGTTATAAGTTTGAATCACTATACTTCATTTTAGTTTAGCATTTTAAATAATGTATCTAATTCCACATTTCTAAAGGAAATTCCCTTTATTTACTGTAAGCTTTGGGTTAAGCCTATGCTTTGGACTGCTAAACTCCCTTCATTCTGTTTTCTTAAATTTGCTTCTTAATGGTTGAGGATGATTATCATTGTCATAGTTTGAGCATGGCATCTGGAAAGAGGGGATTCTTTTAAATTTTTTGATGAGGCAGAAGAGGAGGTTTGTAAAAAGTGGTGGGTACAACACTTCTCATTTACAAAGATGGCTTTTGCGGCTCATTTAATGATGAACTGCCTGGAGATATAACTGACAAAATGATGAAACAAAAAAAAATCATTTGAATCGTGCCATCAGAATAGAAAGAGATAGCTAGAAACTCAATTGCTTTTCCTACCCCCTACATTTTTATTTCCTTGCATGCATTGTATCTTTTCTGTTGTAAACCTTACTGAATATTTTTCAAGCAAATTCAAGAAAAAATTAATATAACTGAGATATTTATACATTTTTATTTGACTATATTACAGAAGGCTTCACTAAGTAGTTTATATTTTACTTTGTTTTCAAAAACATGATTAAGATCTCAACAGGCACACAGCAGTTTTATCATAATGCCTTAGTTTCACATTGGATTTTTTTCTAGTCATGGTGTAAAAAAATAATTTTAACAACATTTCATTGTGTAATATGTTAAGCCTTCCTGTATTGCAGGAGTTATTGGCTTCATTTTGTTTTATGGAACCTTTTAATTTTCCAAGTCTTTAGAAAAGTTAACATTAAAATAGTTTAAGGCGAATGAACTTATTTTTCTGCTACAGATACCTTTTGGCATTTTTTTAGTCTATAATCATGATTAATTAAAATTACAAAACACAAATGTCAAACTGTTACAAGAAAGCTTCATATTAAGTTTCAGATATCCACCTAGAACTTCACATATTTTATTTATTTATTCAAGTCTATCTTTTTTGATTGATTGATGAAAAGGCAAAAATCTGGACTGTTCAGATATAACAAAATTAAAATCTTTTCTCAAAACATTGTGTTCTAAGATGAGTGACAATTATGGTGCAGTTCATAACAGCTCTGTGAACTCCTAAGGCCAACAACAATATGGAATTTTAGGCTCCAAGCTGAATGTAATAAATTACATCTTCATTTTCACAAACCTTTAGATATTTTCTGCATACATAGAAGTTTGAGATGTGTTTATTGATCTCCAGGAATATATATATTAGGGTCAGGCACTTAACCTTTCGTTGAAAGCAGGTATGGCTTAAAGGATTCTCTAATAGAATAAAAGTCATACATGATTAGATTTCAGAAGAGAAAAATAAGTTTTATATACCTCAAGCATCAAACCCCTGTAAAGCCCATGATGATTTATGCTCATAACTTTTTGAGTTCTATAGATTTTTTTCTAAACTAAGAATAAAATTTGTATCAATTAATTACATTCAACTTTTCACGTTGTACTTGGTCTTTATTTTGTCCAACTTAGATTGAATATTAGCTGTCTTATATTTTTCTTAAGCACACGTAAATCATGCTGCTTTGTTCCCTGCAGGAGCTAAAATAAAATATTAGTAATTATGCATATTTAATTTTCAAAAGGCCAAGTGAGTACTTGCAGTGCTTATTGAGAGGAAAATTATTTCACATCATCCTAAAACATCTCTTGGATAAGGGGCTTTCAAGTTTGAAGTTGTGTTATTATGAATATCTTTACTTGTGATGTTGGGAAAGAAAAAATAGTTTATTAACATTCCTCCGCTTTCTTCTTCTCCAGATGCAAGACAAAAGTCTACCCAGATGAACTTCCAAACACAAGTGTAGTCATTGTGTTTCACAATGAAGCTTGGAGCACTCTCCTGAGAACTGTGTACAGTGTTATAAATCGCTCCCCACATTCCCTGCTCTCTGAGGTCATCTTGGTCGATGATGCAAGTGAAAGAGGTATCAATATTTTTTGGTGTTGTTTCTTATTAGAAAATTTTCTGTTATTCAAAGATGTAACAACACAATAACCTGTAATTTGCTTTATAACCACTTAATCACTTACCAAAGTTTGATTAATACACTATGTCATTGCTAATCAAGGAAGAATTAACTAATTTTTATTCATATTCCTATCTCTAGGAATCACCCAAAATGCACTGCAAAGTGTGACACCCCCTCTGCCTTTAATTGACCACAATGATAATTTGTATGACTGGACACGTGACATTTATTCATTAAAATCTCTGTTTGATATGATGCAAAAATGTGTGTTAAGAGTTGCCATCACTTCTGCTGAGTTTCCCTCTCAGAAATACCTCTATTCTGTCTTAAAGCAATTCCAAAGTTTTCTGATGGATTCCTATTTATGTTACAGATTTTCTCAAATTGACATTGGAGAATTACGTGAAAAATTTAGAAGTGCCAGTAAAAATCATCAGGATGGAAGAGCGCTCTGGGTTAATACGTGCACGTCTTCGAGGAGCAGCTGCTTCCAAAGGGCAGGTCATCACTTTTCTGGATGCTCACTGTGAGTGTACACTAGGTTGGCTGGAGCCCTTGCTGGCAAGAATAAAGGAAGACAGGTAAGGATTCATGTGTTAAGTCTGCATTGGTTAGCTTCAGCTACTTGTCAGAATTTCTTGGCCACGCTGTTATTTTCATAAGTTTATTTCATATAATTTCATCTTAAAAAGCAGAGATAGTCCCTTTATTGTACCTAAAACAATAAGAATATGTGTATTTTTATTGAGCATGGGTATTTCACCAAGAAATAATCAAAACAATCAAACACAAGTATTTTGAATATTTATTTTAGGTGAAGGAAATCAGCCCCACCTGAAATAGTACAATATAAGCACATTTTCAAAGTACCTTTATGTATCCTCACAAAACCCTGTGAGGTAGGCATGGTAGATGATCTTACCTGTACCTAACAAGAGGGACGATTACAGCTGATACCTCAATTTCCCAGTATTGAGTGTTCAGAAAAATAACAAAAACAGAAATCAGTTTTTCATATTTTTCACAGTATTCCCTTCACTGCATCAGTGAACTCAGTCTGAGTCTAGTTCAGATTCACATTGAAGATCCTAAAAATATACATGCACACACATCACTGAAATAAAATTGTAATTAAATATAGAAGCAGACAATACAACATTAAGGTTAAGTATTGAAACAACATTGCCACTTTCTACACTTAAGGTATGAAATTGGAAACTTGAGCAACGTTTTGTAGAAATTAAGAACCTCCATGATACCTGCAGTTCTTTCTAATGAGGGTTCTAAGAGGTACAAGCTTCTGTGCAGAAATTCATAAACACTGATGATGAATGAATGTAATTTCTCAGCACCTAATGAAGATAACTGACTCTGCACACTTTCAGGTGTGACTATGAAGTATTACAGAACACCTTCTTGGCATAGTCTTTTCATGTGCAATAGAAGATTCTCCCTTACATTTTTAATTATATACCCACCTAGGAGAGTGGGTGCTTAGTCTGAGCTAGCTCCAGCACATCCCATAACTGGAGAGCTTTCAGTATTTGCCAGGAAGATGGATGGAAGCTATCAGCAAAATGAACCACAGTTGTTCAAGGAGCAGTGGGAACCTTTTTGTTAACTAAGTGTAGTACACAGCTAATAACATTGTGTGTATTGTATAGTACCCACAGGAGAGTTAGACTGGCAAAGCAAAGTGAATATCTTGAATTTCTGTTTACTTTTGAACATTATTCTCTCTTTTAAAAGATGTTTTATTTTTATCTTAGGAAGGTTTTAGTGTACTCTTTTATTTTAGTCATGTGTAAGCTATTTACTTTTATTGTAACAATGCATTGCATTACTTTTGAATATAATAAATCCTAAACTTTTGTCTGATTATGCATTCTAACATCACCATAACTAGATAATAAAGTCTGCTTTACAGATTCTTTTTTTTGGGGGGGGTTCCGGTCGTGGGGCCTGAACTCTGGGCCTGGGAGCTGTCCTTCAGCTCTTCAGCTCAAGGCTAGCGCTCTACCACTTGAGCCACAGCGCCACTTCTGGCTTTTTTTCTTTTTGGTTATGTGGTGCTGAGGAATCGAACTGAGGGCCTCATGCATGCAAGGCAAGTGCTCTACCACTGAGCCACCTTCCCAGCCCCAATAGATTCTTATTATTAGAACTAACTTCCCTAAACAAGTTTACTTATTAAATTCAATAAAGAAAGATGATTTTGCTGGGTCCAGAGTCACCAGGAAGCTTGTCCAGGCTATGAGCTTCGGATGGACTTTGGAGAACTTAGGACTTTCGCCACTTTTATAGAACATAAGATTCACTTGATTATGAATTGTCATGATACTGCTGTTACAAAACAAAATTAAGGCACAGCATTTTTTTTGTTTTGGAAGCTTCATTGTGTATCTACCTTCTGCTAAATATGAAAACCAGGTTTAGTACAGAATTGGCTAGAGACAATGTAATCTTGAATAGACCTAAACACTTACTTCCAGAGATGATCGAAAGTTGCTGTCATAATGAAATGGCTCAACTGAGAGTAGAGAAAGAGTGAGAGAAGGCACAGTGTAAATTAAAGGAGAGCTAATCCTATCTTTAAGTGACATTTTTTGCCCTATAAAAGCTACAATAAAGAACATTAAACTTCCTGACTTTCTTCCAATTTGGGAAAAGTAAACTAAAACATGACAGACTAAATTCAGCCTGTCTTTCCCATCTTAAAATATTTTCTATAAACTCTTGACTCTAGATCAGTACACCCAGAAATTGTAATGATTATGTTCTTCATAGAAAACATTTACTTATACCAATAACTCATGACTTTAATGTTGCTCCTTGTTTGTTTTTCTAGGAGGTGTTTAATCCATAAAGGTTTTCTCTGAACTCTCTCTCTTTAAACTCACTTACCCTATTTGATATGCAAGCCACCAGGTCTAATTTTCTATCTTCCATTCTTGCTTCCCTGCATGCTATTGCTTTTCATTGTTTCATTGCTGAAATGACGCATAATCTCAAAGCAGTGCTACTAATCATGCCTGGGGTGAAAATTTTAGGAAAAATAAACCATGTTCATTTTGCTGAGTTCATACTTAGAATGCATTTACAAATCAGCTTGAAAGTCAATTAGTATATTTGATAAAGTTTCACATGATAGCGTTAATGTAGACTAAAAAGGAACTATCGTCAGAGGAAATAAATAGTTCCTTAGGATAAAAAGGAAAGACAAGCCAGGCACTGGTGACTCACGCCTGTAATCCTAGCTACTCAGGAGGCTGAGTTCTGAGGATAACAGTTCAAAGCCAGCCCGGGCATGAGAGACCATGAGACTATTATCTCCAATAAAACCACCAGAAAACCGGAAGTGGTGCTGCAGCTCACGTGGTAGAGGGCTCGCCTTGAGCTGAAGAGCTGAGGGACAGCGCCCAGGCCCAGAGTTCAAGCCCCACGACCGACCAAAAAAAAAAAAAAAAAGGAAAGACAAAATTAAAGGTATATATATACATCATAAAATTGTGAACTTCTATTATAATAGCTATAATCAATTTTGAAGAAGCTAATGTGGCATTTAAATAATCATTTCTATGTAAAATGGTTTTATTTTTTTCTGCAGGAAAACAGTTGTGTGCCCTATTATTGATGTGATTAGTGATGATACCTTTGAATATATGGCTGGGTCAGACATGACTTATGGAGGTTTTAACTGGAAACTGAATTTCCGGTGGTATCCGGTTCCACAAAGAGAAATGGACAGGAGGAAAGGAGACAGAACATTACCTGTCAGGTATGTAGATCATATCTTGTAAGGAATAGCATGAATAGTCTCATGATTACAAAGGTATATTTATTTTCATTTTAAATTATTTTAAAGTCACTTTTTATTCATATACAAAATATATATTATTTCTCTTTCCATGATAATACAAGAATCAATGGTAATATGAAATCTGGTTTAAATTAGTGCATGGAAACCTAAGCACTGGGAGAAATAGCAAATATAGTAGAAGCTTTATGCATCCAAAAACTCATGAATGCTAGGCAATCGCTCTACCATGCGAACTAGGCAAAAGCCTTTGAAACTACATGCATTCACATATTTTAAGTATATATTTGAAATTTTTTGTGTGACAGAAAGTTGGTTACATTGACACTTTGATTAAATATACATGGTACCTCAAAGTGCGTTCTACTACCAGTATTTTCAAAATATATATAACCAAAAACATTTTGATAGATCTTGTAAATTTATTTCCCTTCTCTAACAATTAACTTCTTAGGCATAATATCTCATTTTGAAAGATTTAGCATATTAACAACTATCAACAATTTAAGTTGTTTTAAACAAATATTTTTTAATAGCTTTTAGTAAACCATGTCTTAATCTTAATACAAAATAACCTACAAATCCTCAGTTTTCTGAAAGCACTACTAATTTCAATAACATAGAAATATTCTTTTCCTACTCCAACACAGATTTGTGGACCTTATTTCTGCAACTACAAGTTGACTTCCAAAAATAGTCTTTTGGAAAATGTTAACCAATTTATCTCTAAAAGTAAATTGAGCAAATCATATTGTGTTGAAAGGGTGGAGATATATTCTAACATCATGAAACAAGATACCTAAGCCAATAATCTAAACAAAAATGTCTGCTGATCTACTGGGAAAGTGACTTCTCATTCTCAACATCTCAACAATATAATGAGTTAATAAAACTAAGAAGTATTTGCTAGTGAAAGAGACCAGGACTGTTTATTTTTGAACAATTATATGTTAGAGGTTGTTAACCTCTTAAGAGAATATTTCTACATCAAAAAGAAAAAGAAAATAGCTTCTAATGTTTGCATGGTGTTCTACAAATTATATCAAAATTTAAAGAGCAGCTTAGTCATTTTTGAAATCTGCATAAACTTCACCTTCACCAAGTCTTTTTATTTCTGGCCTTTAACATCTAGAAAAAAATGCAGTGGCTTCTGATACTGTCTCTTATTAGAAATTCTCTTACTCCAGAAACAGGCATCAATTTCTTGTTAGCTGATTTTTAAGCTTCGATCCCATGGAAGAATTATCAAAACTTTTTGCAAATATACTTAAATAGAAATAAGTATTTATTCACTTGGAAATGAAGTTTAGAAGATTCCATGCTTGTATTCATTAAACGTACATTTTCAAAAACTCCTTACTTAATTTGATTTTCTCAGAGCCTCAAAAGTTAGAAATTTGGCGAATATTCAGACAGAAACTACTGATGTTATTCATTCTGAAAACAAATAATTACATGTTAGTCAACCATTATTATCTCTCCTTAACTAAAACAAAAGATAAGTCATTAAGTTTTAGAATTCTTACTATAGTTTTTGTGGATTTGTTGGAATTACATAAGATCTATGAAAGTCTCAGGTTATTTTATTTGTCTCACTTACTGCATATCAAATAATTTTCTGACACCAAGGAGCTGGTGCAAGAGGAAGAAAGAAACCCTCCTCTGCAGAAGTTTCTAGACTATTTTATGGCAAAAGGTTAATGAATTCACTAGCTCTGTTTTAATAGCTTAGAGGTAATTTTCATCAACCTGGCTATAATGTGAACTTTCGTTGTATTTTGTAATCTGTTACTTGAAGATGTGATCATTTTTCTCACATTCCTACAAATAAATCATTCTGTGTGTTGAAGATCGATTTTCCTCCCTGTCCAATTAACAGCCTTCTGAACAGAGAAAGTGATTAAAAGAGTTGAAATTTTATTCTTGCAATACAATGCTTCACTTAAAAAATATCACTTATAGCCAGGCACTGTTGACTCACGCCTGTAACTATAACTACTCAGGAGACTGAGATCTGAGGATCATGATTCAAAGCCAGCCCAGGCAGGAAAGTCAGTAGCACTCTTACTTCCAATTAACCACCAGAAAGCTAGAAATGGCACTGTGGCCAAAATGGTTTAGTGCTAGCCTTGAGCAAGAGAGCTCAGGAACAATGTCCAGGCCCTGATTTCAAGTCCCATGACTGACAACAACAACAAAAAATTATATATATATATATATATATATATATATATATATATACACACATATAGGAAAGCTTATAATGGGTTTACTTTTCTCTTGCCATATGTATTTTTTATAATGCATAGAATATGTGTGAGAGAGTTTTGGAAGCTATGATTACAGACTAATAGTATTCTAAGCCTGAAAGTCCAGTTCTCTTTAAATCAGTAAAGTTTCTTTACATTTTAAGGTCAAGTAATAGGCCTATTCAAGAATGCCTCAGCTGTGTATGCAAGAATAAGAGTGTCATCCAGAGCTTAGATTTAGAAATTTATTTGCCATATTTGCTCTTGATGCTGGTTATCTGGTTTATTCAGTGTTTCTTACTTTGAAAAAGTTACCATTTTTTTTTCTTTTATGAGGTGTGTGTGTGTTTGTGTGTGTGTGTGTGTGTGTGTGTGTGTGTGTGTGTATGTGGTATTGGGGGCTGGAACTCAAGCCCTGGGCATTGTCCCTTAGGTTTTTCAGTGGAGGCTGGTTCTCTACCACTTAGTGGGCCCATACCTCCTCCTCTGGCTGTTTGGTGGTTAAACAGAAATCAACTCTTATGAACTTTTCTGCCCATGCTTTGAACCTTGATCCTCAGATCCCAGGCACCTAGGTTATCTAGGTTTATTCAGCATGAGATACTAACACCGAGCCTTGAAGTATTTTAAATAAAAATCTGTTTATACCTATTAAGAAGTAAAAAAAAATCATGGTGTTTTACCAACCTTAGAAATAAGATGTTTGAAATATATATATATATTTAGAGAACTGAATAGTTAGATATCTTGCAACAATGTCTCCACACTTCTACAGGGCCTTGTCAAGAAGAATTGTGTAGAAACTACCAACACAAATGTAACATGCAAACCTGGCCTCTTCCTTTTTACTAATATAATTGCCTCTGGTGCTGAGCTTGAGGGATATTCTCATTTATTACTCTTTCACACCTGAAGAAGTATTTTTTTAGAAACTGTATCTCAAGCAAATCCAGAGAAATACATTTATTATGATCAATCAACTCCATGTAATTAGCCCTTATCTGATTATAGTCTTTTAAATATGCTACCCTTAATTTAGAGGAGACTATCTGGAAAAGCTGCATATGAACGTGTGTGTATGTGTGTGTGTGTGTGAGTGAGTGAGTGTGTATGTGTGTGTTAGCTCATAGAATATGCATATAGCAGCAAAGTTACATGTTAATGAATATAATCTTCCACATCTTTAAATTTACTTAGGGATGGATTATGCATTTTTTCCTAACACACACACACACACACACACACACACACATATGAAGAAAGGTGAGTTTGGCTTAGAGATTGAAATAAGTAGTATTTCAGTTACATGTGTACATTCAGCTGGTTGCTATGTTAGGTCGTTCACATTTGTAAAAAGTTTAGGAGGAGGCTACAATGCTTGATAAGAAATGTACTCACTATCTTGCCCATGTAATTGTAACCCCTCTGTACAGTATTTTCACAATAAAAAAATTTTTAAAAAAAGTTTGGCACTTGCATTAGTGGCTACATTAAGACCAAAGGTTGTATTGTACTTTTCCGGAGGATGGATGAACCAGAGTTAGCTAGATTAGTAATATAGCTAGATATTCTTTTGGAAAAAAGGAGTCTGATTTACATCTTATTGATGACATTACTTTCTTAATTATTTCCTCAATAATTATAAAGATATCTATTTCCACTATAATTTCTCCCAGAAGACGTTAGATTTCTCTATTAGAAACATATTGGCATCTTGTATATACACTTCTAATTTGGAAGGGGAAGGGAAAAAACAAAATGCTTAAATAGGGATACAAGTTGACCCACTGTAACAAGATGCACAAGACACTATGTTAAAAAACGAACTTTACAATTTTAGGCAGTGGGGGGGTGGTAATTGTGGAGGTTGGAGGGAAGGGATGGTAGGGGAAAAAGGAGGAGGTAACAATGCTTGATAGGAAATGTACTCATTACCTTGATCATGTAAATGTAACCCCTCTGTACAGTATTTTTACAATAAAAAAGTATATAAACAGAAACCTGGTAATTTTTCACATCTATTAAACTATTTTACTTTCTACTTCTTACCTTAAGGATGCCTACATTTAATCATTATTAACCTTTTAATATAATTTCTTACATTCTGACTTGTATCCCATATTAAATGAATTCTCTAAGTGAAATAAAAGCATTTCTGATTTTCTTGTAATCCTTACCAGCATAATGAATTAAACATAGATTTAATTATTAGCTTTTATTCCTGATGCTTTTTACTTACTTATAGGTCCCTTTTGATTAACATTTGTGTGATCTCATATGTTAACATTTTACTCAATTATAATTAAGGTTTTGCAAAGAATATGAAAAAAATAAAATAACATGGATAATGATTTCTTGGGATAAGCAGCTGCTTCATGTCATGAAAAGCTCCCAGTGTTCACATGTACTGTGTCATGTTTCATTCTAGTGTACAGTCAGGGAGGAGGCATTGAAAGTAACTGAGAGGTGAAACAGGTTTGATTTTATGACTCTACAACTAAAAATTGCACTTTTTTCACTGTACAGTAGAAATTTTTTCTCTCTGCCTTTCAGGACTTATAAAATATTAAATGAGACATACCTTCTGACAGGAATTAGATTATAAATTTATTTCTGATAATAGGACATGTAAACATAGCAAAATGAAAGTGGCATGTACTTAACATATAAAGAAGCATCTACCCACTGAAACATATTCTAGTATTTTGTTCT